ATATATATATATATATATATATATATATATGTTATGTTCTATATGTTTATTATATATATATATATATATATATATATATATGTGTATATATATTGAATTAAGCTTTATATTTATATGCGAAAATCACTTACGTCTCTACAAGCTAAATTGACCACAGGTTGACATTGTTCTCTTAGGACAGGATCAATTCTCCAATCTTCGCCAGCATCGGTTTCCATAATTAATTCTTCCAACTATATAATAAGAAATATTTTATAAAAGTATGATACATTTTATTAATATATGTTCTTGAAAACAAAATATTTCTCGCAAAACTTTGTTTATTTTAAAAAACCTGGATTCTGAAATTCTTAATTTCTCTATCAATTGCTTACCGCTCTTTGACATTCCGCGGTAACTCTCGATTTTCTCTTCCTCGTCCTTGTATGCTCCATCAGACAGTGTATTGTAGCACCACCAACCTCGAGACTGTTGCAAAAAGTCGTAATATCATTGGCACATTTGTGCACAATCTCTGGTGATAATCTATAATCTTCCATTAGCAGTTTCCTGTGATCAAACATTTCCGCCTGACAATTTCCGTCGATTTTGCTGCCGTTCTTCATGGCCGATTCCAGACAAAGCAAAATTTGCGCTAATTTGATTTCTTTATCCTCGGACACAGATCGCCGGCAGTGATTATTTCTGATGTCTTCCTTGCAGGCTTTAACCAAACCTTTGCTAATTTTGTAATCAGAAGCAATGAGTTTCTCTCGTCTCGTCAACTGTTCTTGGCATTGCGCGGTCATTGATCTGTCAATATAAAAACATTCTTCATAATAAATAAAAGATTAATCTTAATCTTTTAGACTAATATCTCAATATTTAGCTTTTTAAATTTTTAAATTATTAATGCTTAAACATCTACCTATCAGTTTTGTATTTCATCAAACATTTGTAGACTTGACCACTGCCTGGTCGAATGTTAGGACAGAACTTAATGCGATCGTGAGTGCAAGCCATGTATAACTGACGATCTAACTTGATATTCTCAGCTTGAATCTCGGATACATGGAGAATATGTCGCCTACATTCATGCTGTAGTTGCTCGACATGTTCCTGCAAGCATGCTAATATCTGACCCTGCGATATATCTCTATATGGCTGTAGACTGTCGCATTTGAATGTCCTGATGTCCTTTGCACAGTCCGTCTTGAAGGGAGTCAAGATTCTGAAATCACTGAAGGCAATCCATTCTAATCTCTGAATATAAGTGATGCAGTCAGGATCTCTGACCCTCTCTCGGTTGTCAATCAAGCAAGACAGGTATGCTCCATGGGTCTTATCTGAACTGGAGCATTGTATGGTATCCAACTGTACCCCACATGCCTTTCTGGCTAGCCTCTCTATATTTTGATTATCTGTAATGTTCTGGATATAATCCCAGATTGCCTCTTGACACTTCTGATTGATCCCAGAAATCTCAGTAGGCTGCAAAGACCATAATGAGAGATCATGAAGAGATCGTTAGATCTTTGACTTATTTTATTTCATTACACGACACATACCTTAAAAGTCTGAATACACTCGAGTAGCATGAGTTCATCGTTATTTCTGTCTATATCCCCGCAAAGGCGGTTCAACTTATCACGGCACTGGCCATTGATGATCTTTGGCAAACCATCATTCTCAAGCTCCCTTTTATAATCGTATGGTACAGCTCTCTGAATTCTTCTACCTCGCAGAGACCCGTCGGAGAAGAGCCAACTGATTTTGGAAGGCTCGTCGGCCTGCTGTGTAAATGCATTCCCGAAATACGTCGACGTTGTGCTGTGCAGCACCGATAGGATGAGCAACGCGGCCAGTACTTGCCTCGTGTGATCCATCCTCGACACTCAAGCCTCACCTTTTTTCAAGATCATCACAAACCCTAAAAGAAATATGTTATTGCATCGAATGCGATTTGTTCAGAATTATTTAATATCGTTCGATCAAAAGTCATTTAACATCAAAGAGAAACAAATCAGATCATAGTTCAGCTAAGAGTACCTTGTTAATCACTTTACGCCGCGACTGGTTTTTTGTTATCCCTTTTTTTTTTTGGTTTGTGCTTGTTGATCATCTACCGTATGACGTGAATGCGCGAGTGTTGGTACCAGCAATTGTCAGCAAGCAAACACGATTGGTGCGGAACGATATGACACACAGGCCCGAGCAGACCCGAGGTCACCGTGTGCCTTTACAACGTCATCTTGCAGGACTCGTGACACACCACTCGTGATGCTCAGTACATCATCGGTAGTTAATAAGTCGGTAGTTAATGACGTCGATAACGCAGAAGCTCGGTCAAAGTTGCTTCTATAAAAGCGCAAACGCGTCCTTTTATTTTTATTTTTACTCTTTTTTTTTTAACATTACTGATTAAATTCCGACGTGATATAAAAATGTTTGAACTTCCAGAATAATAATTGCTGAATTTGTGAACAGACAAAGAGCCTTTCCCTTTGCACGATCCTGACAATGTGTGTTCGAACGGATTTACACATTGGATTTACACAAACAAAATTAATATTGATAATTATTTAGAATATCCTTTCTTTTCTCTCGTGATGATAATAAAAGATGATTTTACACCGAAAGATGAAAGTATATTTTTAATTAGCATTGAGTTATTAAATATTAAGGTAATTATTTAGAACACCTCCCCCCTCACCTCCGATTTTAATAAAATTGGACTCAATCGACTCAAAATAAAAGAAAAACGCGCGTGAATCGAGATATAAGCCCAATTTTATCAAAATCGAAGATTGGGGGGGGGTGTTCTAAATAATTATCTTAATATTTAATAACTCAATGCTAATTAATTAAAATATACTTCATCTTTCGGCGTAAAATCATCTTTTACTATCATCACGAGAGAAAAGAAAGGATTTGTTGTAAACGGAATTATTGTTCGGTTATGCAATATATTTTCACGCCTTCATCACCTCCAGAGATGACGTCATATATAGTCAACAAACCGCGCGAAATCGATTGGCTAAACGATCACGCTCCAGTTATCTTGGAAACACTTGCCGTTCAGACCGGTATCTCGACGGGACGCAAAGCATCCAAAGAGAGAATAATCGTACGAAAGAAGTTTGAAATAAATTGTGGCATCATGGCCCTGATGCCGAAGGAGTCCGCGAAGCTGGTTGCCGGCTTGGCGAAGGACGTGTTCGTCGAGCAGGCAGGCGTGAAGAAGCTGGCTTTGGCGGTTCTCAATGGTCTCAAGACTGGCAAGATTCGTCCAGGCAATTTCTCACAGATCAAGTATCACCCGAGACCCGACGATCCCAGGGCGGCGGACTGGATCTTCGTGCTGGACACGCTGAACTTCTCCTTCTGGACCGAGACAGGTACGAAGAAATGGAGGGTCAACAAGGAAACCGGCTACTTCGCGTTCTGTGCCGCCGTCAAGCGGGCGATCGACGCGGGGAAACCGATGTGGGATCCCAAATATTATTCGCAGATAACGTTGCAGGATGCCGAGACCATCTTCCGGGGCGACGACGAAGTCGGCATTCCACTTATACATGAGAGAGTCAAGGGTTTGCAGGAGGCGGGAAAGGTCCTGTTGGACAAGTATCATGGTACGTTCGTGGAGTGCATCAAGTCGTGCGGAGGTTCCGCGGAGAAGCTGCTCCAGCTGATCGTCAGGGAGTTCGAGTCGTACCGAGACGAGGCCGATTACGAGGGACACAGGATCAGCATCTACAAGCGAGCTCAGATACTGATCGGTGACATCTGGGCCTGCTACGAGGGACGCGGACTTGGCGAGTTCCACGACATCGACAGCATCGCGATGTTCGCCGATTATCGTATCCCCCAAGTGCTTGTATACTACGGCGCTATGCGTTACAGTGACTCGCTGATGAGCAAGCTGAGATCCGATGAACCGTTGAAGCAGGGTAGCAGAGAGGAGGTCGAAATACGTGCCTGCTCGATCGAGGCAGTCGAACAGGTGTGCGACGAAGTGCGAAGATTGATTAAAGCCGATTCGAAATTGGGCTTGAACCCGTCGAAGGACGTTAATGCGATTATCATCGATCACTATCTCTGGGACTATCGTCGAGAGTATGCTGAAGAATTGGAGAGCATTCCATTCCACAAAACGAGAACTATATATTACTAGAGCATTTGCGCGGGACGCAATGATATCACCTATCGAATGAAGAAATCAGAAAGTTTTCATATATATCAAATTAAAATTACATAATTTCCTTTCCAATTATATTTTATTATATTTTGTATTGTATTATACAAAAAGAAAGAGAATAAAATTTGCTAGATATTCCAGAAGAAATTTCTCTTTCAAATATTATATAACCGATTATCAATGAGATTAGATAATTATTGATAAGATACAAAAGATATCGGAAGCGTATAATATTCAGCACTACAACGTAGCAACGTAAGATTGAGAAAGAGAATATAAAACAACCTTTTTATATCATATAATGATATGAACGTGTTTGATATAAAATATTTTCACAAATCATATTTTTTTAAATATTATGTATGAGAGAAATCAGTAATACAATTATTAAATTACTGAGATAAGCTTAGTCAAGCCAGAGAGAGAAATCTCATCATTCTCTACATTGAGATCTAAATCATAGAAATAAAAATTATCTATACGATCTATATGATGTATTAATTTATTTCATTATAACTTTATGATTTTAGAAAATATTTCTAGATTTCTCATCGGAAAAATGTACATTTACATTACAAATTTACATAATTGTTTCCGATAAATTAATTTTCTTGAAGTAATACAGCTTGGTTACATATACTGAGGAATAAAATTAATAAAAATATATATACATATGAAATTATCCACCAAACTGCAAATTGTACTTCTTGATCTACCTCTCATTTTATCATTATATACAAAAGAATATAGAAACTTACATCTAGATACAAAGGTTGATGAAATGAGATTATATAGGTAAATTACATAAATACTACTTAAAAAATGGTTTAATTCGCAATGCGTCATATACATATGCGTTATAGGCAGACCTGAAGTTTCCCACAAACCGTCCGTCGTTTCATACATATCTATTTATTAAATTTCTAATAGATTTTATTAAATTAAACAGAATATTTCGGTCTTGTCCTTTTAATTCTAGTTTCACATATAGATGAAATTAAACCTGCAACATAAATGAAACTTGTGAAATACGATGTTTCATCTTTTTACAAAACAAAAAAAGACAGATCTTTGAGCACATACCTGCACAGAGATTGTGGTAAAGATGAGATTATGGGGCCGTAACCTTGTGAATTATCATATAATTCGAATAACGGTGCAGCAACTAATTTGTAATTCTTCGGTACCGCAAAAAGAGCTAAGTATAAAAATAACAAGTAAATATATACATCATTAGAATCAATTAATATGTCAGAACTTTGACTTGTCATACCTTTTTCTTGTAGCTGCACGAGAAATAATCTCTTGTGCTCCTTTGGTTTCGTGATGTGTGGTGGCACATATGGGTACTGAGGTGGTTCAAAGTTTGGACGCCACCAATTTCCAATTGTGTCTTCTATCACCCACTCTTGCTTCACCCCATCCTGTCGTCCGAAGGTCTAGAAAGCAATCCCGTTTGCTGTTTAATATTGCATTATATTCAACTGCGCGAGTAACTATGAGAATAAAATACATTCTTCTTCTGTCAAAGTCCACTAAGAACATGGTTGCACGACGTTTATTATATCGAAAGATTTACGGCGGTCACTTGATAGCATCGATTCTAACAATATTCAAGTTTATCGATGATTGACATAGTGATAAGTCTCTTTGGAACTGAAAGATGATATAAATATCTATCAAGAATACATATACGTTTCTTTCGAAACTTTTCTTTCGATGTCTGTGATATCTATTTTGCGTATTCATACGAATACTTGATTGAAATTATTACATATATTGATAGTTTTATTTAGGAATGTGAGAGATTGCAGAATCTCGAGTTGATTAATTCCCTTGAAAACTGATAACTGCAAATAGATTCGCCTACATATTGTGCCGATTGGATATTTTTCCCTTACATAAAATTCTAAAATTCTAAGCCCTACCCGAGATAGACGGTTTTCCGAGCTTTCGAAATTTCAAAAATTCGCGACATTGATATACAGTCTTCTTGCTTACTACATTTTACATTCTTTTACAGTCTTGCATTTTATCTTATCTCTTTTGCGTTTTTTTTGTGCTGTCTATAACATACACAATAAAAAATAAGAACAATGTTCTTAGCCAACCAGATACAATAACGTGCGATATGTTCATGTATACCAACATCGAAGTTTCCGGGCATGCAGCACGCCAAAAGTATACAAAATATTATAAGAATAAAAGAGCAAGCTCCTATGTGGAGCTACAGGCCCGGTTACATAAATTCTACAAATGTTTTGCAGGGTTTATACAATAATGATGATATTCATAAAGACAATGTTACAATCTAACGATATAAAAGTGCCACTCCTAGCCAGCCTGTAAGGCAGCGTAAGGCGTCGTTTTAACTGTTACCTCTGTAAGGAGCCGTTTTAGGCCCTCTACCTCATCTTCTCCTGCATTGAGTTCTCCACCAGGTCTGGAATAATAAAAAGAAAATACTAAATCACAAATATTTATACAGATACATATTTCGATAAAAAAAGAAATAGAAAAGAATAAAATTAAATTAAAAAATAAATTAAAATTTTATTTTTACATATGTTAATAAATATTTCAATTTTAATTTTCTGAAATATTTGTTTATAAAACAAGTCAATAAATGGAGTAATAATTTATTAAAGTTTTTATTAAATTTATTAAATTTAATTATATAGGAAATTAAACTCACAATTTGAAGAATGTTGTACCGAGTTGTAGAAGAAGAACATGTGGCAATCCATGCTCATGTACCAGTAGGACGCCTTCTACGCTTCTCCGCATACCAATCTTGTCAAATTCATCTCGCATACGCTGAAATCTTGCTGGTACTGATGGGTCTTTCTCGAAGAGTGGCTCTTTTGTTCCAAATGTATAGTTTGTCAAAGGATATCTATGATAAATGAGTTGTATTCTTAAGGTCATGTACATACTTAACTCAATCCATCAGTAATTATATCCAGTTTCTTCAAATACACAGCTTGATGCGATATTACAATGTTCTATCATAGAAACTACATAAATATGCGCGATATAATAATTTAAACAGTTCTCTCAGTATTTCTATTATCAATTTCCATATTTCGATATTAGTCTTAATTTAATCTTTATTTATGCCTTTTGTACATAATTTAGCAACAGATGTATATATATATATGTATAAATATTTAAGTTATGAAGAAAAAGTTACTTTATTATCACCAAACATATGTTTGTTAATAAATATACATCATATTGGATACACAAAATTTTATAATAAAAAGATTATCTTCTTTTATTTAAATTTTCAACAAAGTTTCTAATCTTCTATTCTTTTTTCTTCTTACATTTAATAATTTTTCATTTATACTGGTTCAAACTTATATTGCAGTTTAAGTATAATTATAATAAGCATAGAATAAAATATTGATACTGAAATGTAATATACATCTAATATTACATTCTACATAAATGACGACAATTTGTTTGCCGTAAAAATATCGCTCTCTGTTTAGCTTTTACATACACATGTATAAAACATATTGATACACCGATAATTAAAATTCTTGCATTCACATCAGCAGACGTTTGGTATAAATCAAATTAAATATAAATAACAAATAAATATAATTTTGTTATCAAATTACAATTATATCTGTACAAATAAGTACTTTAGCAAGTACTCAATGAGTGACTTTATTATATTCTTAGATTTATACATTATATTTCTCATGCTTATAAATTTATTAATTGTGACTGCTTTATAAAATTATCCAATTTCTTAAAAATTTTATCTCAATAAAATGAATTGTATATAGATAGATAGATTATATATAGATATATGTAGATAGATTTGTTGTATATAATGACGTAGATATTGTAATATATGCTTACTCAAAGCAGGTGATATTCAAAACTTTAAAGAATACAATAAATAATTGAACCAGGAAGATTATGATTTTTGTAATATTTGATAAATACATGCAAAGGTCTGTATAGATATGTGGTGCCGAAATACATAGATATACAAATATAACATTTTGTAACATTTTAATTTGACACAGAACATTGTAGATGTAACATTATAAATGCGCATATGTAATTGAAAAAGTAAATAATTATCTGCACCATCTTATAACGTTACATAGATTACGTATACAATTGTGTTTGTTTTAAGAAGCTTCATTATCTTCTTATAACAAACTGTTCAGAGTAACAATATTTATATTATATTAGGTACTATCTTATGTA